CAAAAATGACGCAAGTCCTACGTTAAAGTTTACCAAGTGAAGTTTGTGGGGCCTTGTCTCAGACAAATGGTCCAGAACATATTTCAGCCGGTACTGTTTAACAAGGAAGGCAAAATTTATGCAGTAACATGGCGAAACTGTTTAACAGATACCTCCAACAAGGTTAAACGCCAGGAGGTCAGAAATTCCCTTGAACAGTGTCTCTCCACATAAAAAGCGAACGAGAAGGTTTGAAATCTTATAGATCCATACGTCTGATTTTAATGTTTATAAAGTGCGCACAAAAGTTCTGTAAAGTCGTTTAAACAAAATCGTTGGACGAGCATCAGTCGATGGAACATGCTGGTTTATTCTGAAATTTTTCGACATCCAAAAACCTTTAAGTCTTTAATTCACTGCTCAAACTATGGCCAAGGCATAGAACCATGGTAAATACAGTCTGCAGCACGAAGCAGTCGTCATTCTGTTGGATAAGCAAGATATAGAAGAACGATGCATCGAATTCGACAAGCAACATACTCAAGACGCAGCACGACGATCTGACGTTTAGATGATACGGTTGAAATTCACTGTTTTGGTGGAGTTTATCGAGGAGTCACCATATTATCCCGTTGTTTTGAGTCATCGTTCCACAGAATGAAGAGCAATGCAGGATTTTCCATGAACGGTAGACGATTCATTATTCTTCCATTTGCTCAATATGTTGGAGACAAAGTCAAAAAAACTTGTGGCCATGTGATGTCATTTAGGATCAAGTTCGAGTTCTGATTAACAGGTTGAAGACAAATTCACATGATCAATTACAGTTACGATCAATGATAATCAAATAGAAATCCCCGAGCATGTATACTTGGCACAGCTAATCGTGTCAGACCACCCCGTTTGTCCAGTACACGCTGGAAGGGCAGCGAGGAATAGTTACATCTGAAATGCAAAAAATTGCAAATGGCAGTTCGAATCATGGTGTATGAAAGTACGGTAATGTGAACAACTCTGTATGAATGCAAGACCATGACAGTAACGAAAATGGATGAAGAACTCTTAAGAGAGTAACAATGGGTTATAGAAAGGAGACGGCTAGACATTTCCATTGGGAAAAGCTGTGAAATGAAACAATTAAAAATGCAATCGATGAAATAACGTTGTATCATTAACAGGACAAAGAAAACGGCAATGGGCAGATCACATCGCATATCTGACGGCTAACAGATGGACTTCGGCGATGACTAGTTAGTACCCAAGCTTCTGCAAGTGCCAATATGAACAGTATGGGAATCGTTGACATAGCCGTTTCTGCGAACGCTTTTTTACGCATTTATCGTTGGCTGATGTAAATGTTGCAGTCACTGTTTGAATTTGTGTGTATAACTGGACTGTGGTCATCTCCATGAACTATTGGACTTTGCGTATTATGTTTTACATCTATCGAAAGCTCTTTGTCAGTCAAATAATGCTGCTGATGTCAAATGTATGATTTTTTAATGACAATTGCAACATGATGACTGCGAAAGACTAAATGAGCGCACAGCACCGTGGTCGCTAGATTGAACTGTCATTGGCGGATGACCATCTGCATCAACTTGACTCTGATTCTAATGTTACCCATCAATGGCAGGCTTTCTATAGACTCAATACTCGATGCCGGGATATCTATTGTATGTTATAATTTCATCTAGCTTGAATGGAGAGATCACTAGGTGAGGCGCAGTCATCAAATAAGTGGGCAGTGATTAGGTTAGTGTGCAGCCGTTTGGTCGAAAACAGTAGTTGTATTATTGGTAGACGGTCACCTGCATAATTCACTTGATTTCATCTATCACCTTGCACAGTGACCGAAAGCTCTCTTTGAGCGGAGTACGAAACTTTTATCACAGTGTGTCGCCAGAAAATAAATAGGGACAGTAAGAATCTTTTTCATGCACGTCACTAATTAGATAAAGAGGCATTTGGCTACCTTCCCATTGAGGTGGGAAGGTAGCCAAATGCCTAATCATAATGGCAAGGTCAGGGTCATAAATCAGCATGCAGTCATTTTGCCGAGAGTTGTTCTGACGTTTCGCAGACACGCATCTCAATCTACATTTGGCTATCCTTCTTTACATCCCATGTTGATGGACATTTCTTTATGAACATTGCAAAAGTTATGTCAAATACTTGAATTCAGAAGAATTTGGATTTTATTATTTGATTCTGTGCGGCAGCAGGCAGTCATTTGACCAAAAATAGTACCGCCATAATACATTACGGGCAACCTATTTGCGGTAATCAGCCACCAATGAATTTTAAGCATTTCCGTGTCACGAACGAAAGAATAATGGCTATTGTAAATCACTATCACAATCGAGATATTAATATTTATCTGTGTGGCTTGGCGCATGACCAGGAAGTCCGAAACAACGTGATGATGAAATATTCTGCATATGAACACAGCACAGACGAATGGTTGGCCTAGTTCCATATACACAGAGAGTTCGTGTAATCTATATAGCGAAATCTTTGACAAACGTTTCATATTCTGTTAAAGGATACCTTTTCATTGACATATAATGTGAGGAATCAAATTATATAATTGATCGACGACCGCCTGGAAATGATGTAGATTGAAACTACTGCCCGCAGAACCGGAGGCACGAATTTCATGACCTCGCACAGTCACATCTTGGAATTGCAGTAAAAAATTCACAAGTACAGCAACGACATCATACTTCACCCTCTGAGAGCCTTCCATAGATATGCAATATGATATGCTAAATCAAATAGTTGACGCAGATGGTCACCGTCCAGTTATAGAAATTCAAAGGAGCGACGGCAGCCCGTAACAGTGACCGCAACCAGCGGTCTGTGTGAAAATGTCCACACGGAAACATCATATACCACAATTGGATGATCTAGAATCAGATGGGAGAATGATATAAACGTGAGATGAGGAAAATTATAAAGAAAAATTGCACGAGACGACGAGCGCAAGCTTTGAAACTCGGCAATGATCACAGCCGCTAATTACGAAGAAGCATCAATCAATTTTGTTGTTTGCCGTGAATCTGCGTTGATTAGTTGCTGCATAGTTCTGTCTCTCTGCCTGAGCGTAGCTATTCCAGTTTCTTTTGTGACTAATATCTTTTGATTCACCCATAAGAGTGAGTGAGCCATGCATAAGATATTCGCATGTTGATCCAGTCTCGAATATGAGCCTAATTTTTCATAATTATGTGGTAACATGTGAGAAACTCCTGCTCCAAAAATGTCGTTTCGTGCCGAGTACAGATTGCTTCAACATATAAAATTATGCAATATGTATATGATATTGCAAATGCTTAAGCAACCCAGAGCCGTGTTCTGCTTTGTGACCCTAGGTAAATTCTAGTAAGGAGGTCGAGGAAGTCATCGTGAAACAATTCATTCAGGCAGTTGAGCGCTTTTAAATGAGAAGAGGCCGAAATAGCCACGTTTTGACAGAGCCATAGAAAATTTAGACATTAAAGCACACTGACAGTAAATACAATCTGCATTTCGACAAAAATAAGTGATCATTTTTGTATTCAGTGATGACCGAAACGCAAGTCCAGCCTTTTTGGAATTTTGGTCTGAGAAACTGTCATTGAGCCAGTCTCTTCCTTAGCAAATAAGAACTACAGGGCTGGGCAATATCCTTAAATTTGATATTAAAAGGTTATGTGCCTGTTAACATTGCCTTATTCAAGCCGATATTATTGATCTTTTTTGCTCCAAATACATGCAACGCACCACTGCGCGTAATGTACATCTTAATAAAGAAAACGATTTGAAATCTTCAGCACTGTAGAGTTAAACTTAATTTGAGGACATATCTTTGTTTCTTCCTTACATTTACTGATCACTTATAGTGAAAGCTTACTATTTCATATTTTATAGCTGTAATAAGCAGTCTACAAGAATAATTTGACGGGCAGATGACATGTCTTCCATCCTATCCTTCTGTCTCGCTTCACAGTACTGATCACGCAAACGACAAGCTTCAAAATCATTTCTATTTTTGAAAATGTATCTGTAATCTAGTCAAGCTTTAAATGTCTGAAATGTTCCCTGTTGACCGTGGACTTCATAAAAATGTACTCTTGCTTTCGCTATTTAAAGCTGTTTTCTACTATCATCTTCAAAACATTGTTGACTGGCGAAAACGAGGACTTTATTCTGGATGAAAAGCGCAGTTCAAGATATCTGATTACACATCTCTTGACCTGGAGTATGTTGATGACATCGTGTTGGTGAACAGAAGGAGAATTTGAGGAATGGACTTCGTCAGTTCACATCACCAGCATATAATACAACTGTGATGCGATCAGAATTAAAACCTTATTAGAGCTCATCCGTCAAGGTGCTTAAGAAGAGAAACGGCAAATGATTACTGTAGACCAACCAGTATGGAAGTTTGTTATGGGAATACTATTCGCGTACATCTAAGGATTTTTGACTTTTTATACGGTTACATCTTGGGCTCATTATCACGCTAAATAGAAAACTATCAAGTGGGTCATGGTGAAGTGCACATCAGATAATGTCGTACATCTCGCCCATTGTGTCATGACTACACCAGAACATCATGCTGCCTCTGTTGTTAGCAAGTTAGCAACTTGCTACAACAGCAGCCTGTAACCTGTTTCTCAGGAGGATAGATTAAGGCAACGTGGGTTAAATTCCTTGCTCAAGGAAATTCGCCTTTAAGGCAAAGTTGATTTCTTTTCCTGATTCGAATCTGACACCCCTGCAGTTAAGTTCACCTATTTGTCAAGGTAAGACTTGGCTCTAAATTAGAGAATTGTCATACCTAAAAACTCGTTTTGCTAGTAATTTTTTAAGCTTTTATATTGTTCATGATTTCGGTGCGGATTATAAGTGCTAATTCTCCTACCCGTTTTACCACTCGCGATAAAAATTATTTAAATTCCTTTATTCTATTCATTGGGTTAGTACAATTTATCAGAATGAATTGTAAACGATTTCATCATTTCATTAGTTAACATATGATATACTTTCAAGGGCTGAACGTGGGAACATTTTACACGATTTCAACATTGATGAATCAAAGCCTGGTGCCGTACTATCCGGTAAGCTGATTTGGCCGTACCTGTATTTTCAGTCATCCATGTTTTATCCAGACCGAAGCCGTGAACATCGGTCGCATTGGATCGGTAATCGTAATCTCTGGAATGTTTGGTTCTGTTGCCTGCGGACTCTGGTTGAGTAAAACACGAAAGTTCAAGTAACCGTAATCGTTTGATGTTTGTGCAATAATCCAATCACGGACATGCTTACAGACTGACTCTTTCTCTCGTCTACTCGCTATCGTTCTGTGGAATGCTTCTGTACAGCGTGACGATTGGTAACTGCAGCATATGGGTCATATTCTTTGTTGCTGCCTTCATGGGGTGATTTCTTTATGCTTTTCAAAAAGTCTCATTTTCAGATTACAAGAATTCCAAAAGTAAATAAATAATCTGAAATTAACGATAATCCAATAAATTGAAGTGACGAAGCCACATTTGCTTGTCTGACAAGTTTGCTAGTAACGAACGGAATGCACCATTTATTAGATTATGTAAATAGCAAATCAAAAGAAAGTGATAGGAGGCTACAGGGACGTGTGGTCGTTGTATGTGTTATCTTTTAGAGTGGTAATCCATCGATGCTTGCACGGAAAAATCCATACGGATTTAAAATGAAAATAATTCATATTTC